TTGTTTAGCAACTGTAGCTTTATTAATAACAGAAAAATATTAGAGTGTATTGTACAGGGGATCTCTGAAAGCTCAGGCTTCATTCCAGGCTTGTTTGCAGTTAGTGGTGCACAAATCTTCACCGTGCACAAGATTCTAAAAGAATACCAGTGAACTTGGAAGTACAGAAACTTGCCATGGTCAGGAAAATAGGTATCATCCTTGTTTACAAAGTTATTGAAGTTGATGTACTTGAAGTGAAAAAGGAAAAAATCATGATTCTGACATTATGAATTCATGTAATAGCTAGATACATATTGATTCTTCAGTCATATATATGTATATCTGTTATGTATCATACACATATAGTAAATAAGCAAATCTTATAGCAAATATTGGAAGTTCATCAAGGAAAAAAAACTCTGCTTCCAATAAAGGACAAGCATCTAGAATTTGGAACTGATATTAAAGCTGGTCTTGTTATTAGTCACTGTTCTTGTAGAAAAAAATGCTATATACTTAGTAAACTGGGAAGAACAAGGTGACTTTAATAGAAAGGAAGTGGTGAGAAAGCTGGATAATCTATCTCAAAAATGTCAAAACCAAGCAAACTTTACCTGAAAAGCAGGAAAGAAAGAATGTTTTCATGCCTACCACATAAAGACAAAAAATATTTAAATAAAGAAGTCCTAATATTTCTTTTTTAAGTAAGGATCTCAAAGTGAAAAAGGAATTTAATCGAAGGTTAAAGTCACTATCTTCATAAACAGAGATCTTTAAAATTAGTTTTAAAATTAGTTTTGATTAATATGTGAGATACAAAAATGTATTAGATATTTGCTTTCAAACCTGTTTCTGGTGTTTTAATATAGAAATTACTTGTATTCCTAATTTTATTTTTTTTTAAAGAATACTGTTACTGTTTTAAACTAGATTCTATGAACAAAGGACTCCATCACTGAAGACAAAAGTCTATATCTAATACAATGTAAGAACCTGTTTACTCTTCACAGTAGCCCTCCTGTAACAGATTCAAGGACAAGTTCAGACAAGTACCACAAACAGTAGTACATTCTAATTAATTAGAAATATCTGAAATATATGTAGAAAGTTTTGGAGTAGCATGTAGGCAAGAAAAACAATTATGAGCAGGTTAAGGCAGTAATTGGATTGACTTTGCCTTAGTATACACTCATAGATTCTTCAAAGAAAAGAAATGAAATATCAAGACTGAGAAGCTGAAAGACAATTTCCTTTCCAAAGATGTGGAGCATATACACTCATATAAGCAGACAATGATGGCATTGGGGAAGAGAAAAATTAAATTACACTAGGTGAGAATGATAAATAAAATTAAACAATATCATACCAGGAAATCCTATTAGAATAGATTTTCTCAAATGAAAAGTCAGTCGGAATAGCAAGGTCTGGCATGCTTGCTCCAGTTGGTCCTCTTGTGACAGAGGAAGGACCTGTAAATACTCTGAACAAAAGGGATTCCAAAGGTTGTAGTTTGGCCAGTGATTAATCTTGGAATCAGGAGATCTGTATCCTCTTCTCCCGTCTCCTTACAAAAACCAAACGTACTTACATGGTCTCATAGCTAATTACTTGTGGATTTGATGTAAGGTAGCACTGCCAGAAAGGGTTTGGAGAGCATTTTGGAACAATGGGTTGCCACAGAACTGCCAGTGGCAGGCATGTGCCTTCTGTTACAGTGGTACATATTAACCCATGATAGTTTTGGAGTACTGGAGTTTATTGAAGAACCACTTATATTAGAGCTTAATAAAGACCCTACTTGATTATTTCACATGCTTACTCACTCACCTAGCTTGCAAAAAGGGAGTCTGAAATCATAAAGATGTGTTTTTAGAAGAGCTAGGTGCCACTTAGTGGAATCTAAATTATTCAGTCCTTTACTCAGAAGTAGTGTTACAATATATTTTTCAAAAGACAGTTCAAATCAATGAAAAAAACAGAATGGAATAATTTTAAATCCTGACTCGATGGCACAGTTCAGCTCCAGGTTGTAGCATCTAAATACAGAAGAATACAAAGGGGTGTTAGATTCACCTTCACAATTTCATTTTTGTCAGTGAAAATCTAGAGCTCTATGAAATGACTTAAACTTAGGCAAATGCTCCAGAGTATCTGAGACAAGCACACCAGGCTATGAGAATAACACAGAATTTATGAAATATTCATTGTCATCTTTTGTTACTGCTCAAGGTCAGAATGAATATCTTAGAGAAACTGAAATTACATTAGATATCTGTATTTATGCAAATAAATACCACTGTAAGAGTAAAATTCAGTTGTATCCATTTAAGTATCTAGTGTCATTTGAGATGCCTTGGGCTAGCAAAAACATGGTACTGGAAAACAACATATTTCTGGAATAACAGTTGGAGTGTTTACATACTTGGATGTGGTAAGCTTATTTTTATTCAAACTCGAGTACATGAGAGTCTTGTCCAAGATGTGTGATTCACAGATTCAAGTATCTTTTATCTCAGAACAGATTCAAACATGCATCTTTCACTAATCTGTAAATTATTTTCAGTGACAGCATCCTCCACTTATGTTGAACCTGTGCAATTTAATTTAAACCTTTTTGGACCATAAATGACCACCAAAAAAAGAAGCATTATGATATAGTTTAACAATTAAATTACTTCCTGTGCTGGTTTTGGCTGGTACTGAATTTTCCTCATAGTAGCTGGTATGGGGTTATGTTTTGGATTTATGTTGGAAACAGAGTTGATAATACAGAGACATTTCTATTACTGCTGAGCAGTGCTTCTACAGAGTTAAGGCCTCTTCTGGCTCTCACAGTACCTCACCAAGTAATCTGGGGATGCACAAACAGTTGTGAGGAAATAAAGCCAGGATAGCTGACCTCAACTGACCAAAGGGATGTCCTGTACTTTACGGCATCATGCTCAGTCTATAAACTGGGGGAAAGGAGGAAGGGAGGGAACGTTCAGAGTGATGCTGTTTGCTTCCTGAGTAACTATTACATATGTTGGAGTTCTGCTTTCCTGGAGATGGCTGAACACTTACCTGTTGGTGGGAAGTGGAGAATCCTTGTTCTGCTTTGCTTCAGTTCACGACTTTTGCTGTACCTATTAAACTTTCTTTACCTCAATCCATGACTTTTCTCGCTTCTACCCTTCCAGTTCTCTTTCCCATCCCACTGGGGGCAGTGAGTGAATGACTGTGTAGTGCTTAGTTGCCAGCTGGGCTTAAACCACAACACAAAGAGGTAAGTTTTCATTTTCTGAAATGTGGTTTCACATTCCACGATGTTATTTTGGATTTAAGGCCAAATATTATTAACAGTGTAGACATTGTCACTGTTTGCAAAATAATATCCCATTGAATAAAACATGATTAAAATCCAACTCAAAGGGTTGTATTTCAGCTTTCACTGAATAATATAATCCTTCCTTCCAAAAACAAAATCAGGAAATGGGGTAAAGACAGCATCACTGTGGCTCCATACATTTCCAAATTACCAATTTCGAATTATTTTTATGTAAGCGTAACACAAACAAACTTGAAAAACATAATGGATGGTATTGTTGAAAATATACTGTTCTCTCTTTTTCTCCTATAAAATCAGAAAATAATTAGATTACCACAATTAAAGGATTAAAAATTATCCTTTTGAATGTTAAAGTATGAAAATTCTGTAAGAATGCAAAAAAATGACACTTGTATTATTTCATGGTTATAGTCTGAAGTTTTTGATGTCTGTCAAAACATATTTTCAGAGATTACAGTAGAAGTGACACTATGTAGCTAAACTGTTTAGCTTCAGTTCATCAATAACATCAGTCATCATTATCTAAGGATAGGGCTTAAATGTTTTTATAAATAGGAATTATGGTGAGATTTTGGTGGAAATTTCCATGACAGTTCTCAATGAATTACTAATGATCACTATTAACACAGTGAATATCAAATATGTTGAAAATGATGGGGCACTTGAAATGAAATAGAGAAACAATAAAATAAATTCTGACATTATGAATTCATGTGGTGCTAATCCTAATAGCATGATCATAATTAATTCATTTGATATTTTCATGGGTGCAATACGCATATATTCTGATGGAGATGCAACATAAGTATCAAAACATCGTTAGTTGTTTACATCAAAGAACACTAAATATTTTGAAAAGTGATTATTTCAATATATAAACTGTTTTTTTGTGAATGAAATAAAATGTTGTTTGCCTTTAACAACAAATCAAAACCAAATAAAAGGAAAGAAAACAAAAACAAAAAAACAGAAGAAAAGGAACTGCCATTCACACTCACATAATGCTATTGTTTTCTGGCCTCTGCTAGTTGAGGGATCACACTCCTGCTGTTCACAACGTGGAACAATATAATGAATTTGAGTGGGATAAGTTATTGAAGAAATTAACATAATTTGTTGCTTTGAATATCAAAAAGAAACTAGCTGCATACAGAACGAATAAAAGTACTAAATGGTAATGAAACTATCATATACTTATGGAAGGAAAAAAACTAGTTAACAAAGGGAAGAAAAAAAAAAGTAGCCTCACAATCTATGGTAGATTTAAAAATAATTCACATTATTTTAAATTAGGTTAAATTTACTTTCATCTTCCTTTGAAGATGACAGACAATATTGGATAAAGTCGTCATGTAAGCTCAAGATATCATGCACCTCAGTGTAGCCAGAATGAAAAGTAGAATGGGAAGAAAGTCAGCCTGAGGCAAGGTGTTCTGGAGCCAGGCCTATTTACAGTGGAGCAGTAGATCTTGGTGCACAAGAGGGTTTCCTGGGGCAGAGAATCACCATGAAGGGGGAAGATCAGTGAGGTGCCAGCAGCTTTTGTGGGAGCCTGGGAATTATGGCCACCCCCACAACTGCGTGTAGTTTTGGGAACACAAGTGACCGGGAACACAAGTGACCAGGAACACTGTGATCAGAGCAGGCAAACAGGACATGGGGTGTCAGTGAGGGTGCAGTGCAGCAATTAGCAGTTCACATGGAAGGGCACAAACAGTGTTGTTACCCTATCAGTTCGAGGTGAGTTCAATTTGTGGTCAACATCCTCTCAGAAGGAGCTTAGTTATGGTATCCACCTGACAGAAATCTATGACCTCTGCATCTTCCAGAAAGGATGTGGTAACCCAGACAGAGCTTCCATGAAAACATGCAGCTGTCCAGGTCTAAGGTGCAGAGAGTGCCAGAGTTTTCACTAGTAACTGATGGCAGTAGTGAGAACAACTCTGTGAGGCGTGAGCAAGTGGCCAACTTGTTCAGTCTCATGGTAGAACTATGAAAGGAAAGCTTAAGGAATATCAGGGAATCTGAGAAAGAGAGAGACGGGTGGAACCATGCTCTGCCCTCCTTGAGGCAGAAACAGGAACAGCCACCAGAAAATAGAAACAAATCAAGGGGGATCCTGTATCCTTCCCTTACCAGAAGATAGTAGCTCAGAGAAAAGGTATGAATGGAGGCAAGTCCTTGATCAGGGTGGCAGACAAACCCCCTCAATGCCTACATTGCCGTCAAGGGAAGTCCAGGGTGGTGACGGAAGTTGATGGGGGTTTATACGGTTTAAGCTAGGTGAGAAAACCCCCAATACCTTCCCTAGACTGGGGAAGTTTACACTGGATGATGTAATGCTGAATTGCAGGACATTTCAGGAGTCTTTGACACCTCCTAAGATGCTACAGCTGCCTTTTACATCACCACACATTATTTTTTTTTAACTGGAACCTGCTGATAGAAGCAACATACACTTTTATTTCATAAATGGTAGTAAAAGTAATGTCTTAGAAATTCACTATTGATTTTAAAATAAATTATGCTTCAAAATTCTTTTGATTACTTGTGATTATTAAAATTTTCTAACATTTTCTTTTTATTTCATTCTTTTCTGTACCAGGATATATTCAATGAGCCTCATGGCCACCAGAAAATTACATGTAAGTCGATGTTCAATTCACTAACATAGTAAAAAGTTTGAACTCCTAAGTAACAGCCTGTATATTTTAATCTTTCTTCTAAAGTGGAGTTAGTATTTGTAAGGTTTTTAGCATTTAATTTTTCTACCCACCTGTTGCACAGCATATTTTCATTGTTAGAGAAAGCTTGCTTGATTAGATGTTTTTACTCGTGTTAGGGTATCTGGGATGAGGCCAAATCCATTCTTTGTATTTTCAAAATTTCTTTCAAATCTCTTCCTTAATTTTGGACCCATGTCTTTTAACAGTCTTGCTCTTTAAAGTAAGTGTAACACACTTAGAATACCTCAGGGAAAGTAGAAGGAATAAAATTTTATATAAAAAATAAGACATTTGTTCTGCAAAGCTGCAATTTTTTTTTCAGATAATTACTGTGTGTAGACTTAAAAATAACACCAGTTTACTATTTGAACAGATGAGGTAAATAATTTGGTACTTATTAAAAGTAATTAGATTTACCATTTTTATTCTGTTTTGTAGTGATTATTCCAGTAAAAGAGATTTAACTGGATGCCAATTAAAGGTCAAATCTTGCTATGAATGAATTCAATGTAAGTTTAAGCCTTGATTCATCAGGACTAGCATTTAATTTTAAATACTGCCAGAAGGTAAGCCTAGCAGGGTAAAGCAACAATAGTTTTAAAGTGAGTTGATATTTTCTACTGAACATGAATTTTGGGTATATTGCAAAATAATTGTTTTAAACTACTGAACTCTTAAGAAGTGCTATAGCATTCAATAATAACAATAATAATTAAAAAGAAATACCCATTCAATATAACAATAATAATTAAAAAGAAATACCTCAACCACAACTATATTTAGTCTTGGTTCTGTAAGCATCATATTCCCATATTGAAAAGTTAAAGAAATCACTACAAACAAGTTGGCACTGGAGCTCAGCTAAAAGGTTAATTCCTACCTTGCAATATTTAGGACAAATTCTGCAAATGGAAGCAGGTCTAATGTTAACTCCTCCAAAATAGCAACACGGATGTGTTACCAAAATATCATTTGTATGCTGGGTAAACACAGTATTTGCACACATTACATGTGCACACAATCTACAGACAAATGGTGTTGGAGGAAAGATTGGACACCCAAGTGTGAGGTCAGGAGTATATCCTAAACTGATTACCAGTGCAGTCCTACATGGTATATTTCAGTTGTTTTGGTTATTAATCTTGTGTAAAATGGATTGTTAGCTTTTTTTTCATTTCTTAGAAGTCTCTAACATGATACAGTCATTAAAGTATTTTCCAGAAGTAGTAATTTCCGCACTGAATAGTCTAAACCTTCAGTGAAGTGAGCAATGGAAAGACAAAAAACAAAACAAAATAAAGCAAAAGAGCCTCAAACCAAACAAAAAGGCAAAAAAAAAATTAAAAATAATTTTCCTCATACACTCACATGCATATATGGAGACTAGAATTATGGACAGAGACAGGAAAACATTTGAAATATTAGCATTAAAGTGTGAGAAAAAAATAGCCTGTTTAGTGTAGTGTTAGTGTGACATTCAGCTAAAAACATAAACCTCTGCTCTGCTCGGTGGGTAGTCTAAATAAAAACCAAGATAGAAAAACTAATGTTCCACAAATTATGATGTGTAGAGAGAAAGAAAACGTATAACTAAATGCTATACTACTTTCTGTTTCTCCCTGAGTTTCAGAAAAGTGCATGGTAAATCTTTTTATCATGATCTTTCTCATAATCCCAAATACAACATTCCTAAAGAACTGAAAAATGCACTCTAGCTGCCTAATCTTCTTCCTAGAACAGGAAGAGAAAAGAACCATTCGTGTAAGTAATGTTTACCTTCCCTGTCTCTTCTCAGAGGAGTTTTATTCTTTGTCAAGACTTTTTTATTATTTATTTTGCAGTAACTACTATCTGGAGCTTACAGGTACATAATACCAGTTTTCATTTACTGTTTATAAGCTTAATTGTATAGTTTTCAAGTATTTACACAGTTTTTTGAATGTGTAGGAGTTCAAGAAATATATTGGCTCACGAGTTGGCTGTCAGCTATATCTGAAGCTCCCAAAAATACCTATATTCACTACTGAAAGTTGTTTCAATGAATGTCTTTCTAAAATAGAAATTTGAATCAATTTCATGAAAATATATTTTAATACTGTGATAGATGTCAAGACTCATAATATAAATAATATGTTTCTATAATTCTAATATGTTTATTGCTTTTTGTCATGATTATGTCTCTACCTGCAACAGAAGTTGTAGAAGTAAGTTAATTTTCTCATAAAAAATGAAGTTTGTTTAAGCTTGTCTTCTATATGATCTGCTCGAGGCAAAATAGTTATCTTTACTAGCTGTGGTAAGCAATTAATTGCACTACCTGCTACTTAAAGTAAGGTATTTTGATGAAGAACAATTAATAGTAAAGAGTACATTTCAGAAATAATTCAAAGGAGTTCAGTCTCCTATAAGAAACAATGCAAGCTACAGTAATTTTTGGGAAGGGTTAGGATAGGACAAGGCTAGGATAGGATAGCTCTACCACCTTTTTACTGTGAGCTCCACATCATCTGGCAAACTGCTAATGAACTGCTTTTCTGTACAGGTGTTAGTTGTAGTCAATCCTGCTCCATCAAGTACATGGATAATATTTTAAAAAATATCAAAATATCTAATTTGGGTAAAACATAAAATTTGGATGTTTAGGATCTTTATCGGGACCAGAATCATGACTGACTTATGGGACTAAACAATCTTACTTGTCACTTACTTACTTAGTGACAAGTCACTTAGACCCGGTTGCTCAGAGCTACATACAGCCTAGCCATAGAACACCTTCAGAGATAGGATATCCACAACTTTTCTGGGCAACCTGTTCAAGTGCCTCATCCCGCTCACAATAAGGAATTTCTTCCTAATACCTAATCTAAATCTACTCTCTTTTAGTTTTAATCCATTCCTTCTTGTCCTATCACTTCATACTCTTGAAAAAGAGTCTCTCTCCACCTTTCTTATAGGCTCCCTTCAGGTACTGGAAGATCCCAGTTAGGTCACTTCTAAACAGTCTCTTTTCCAGGCTGAACAAACCCAGTTCTCTCAGCCTATTCTCATAGACAAGGTGTTCCATTCTTCTAATCATCTTGGTTGCCTTCCTCTGGACTTGCTCCAACAGGTCAATGTCTGTCCTGTGCTAGGGACCCAAGAGCTGGATGCAGCACTCCAGGTGGGGTCTCACCAGAGCAGAGTAGAGCCGGAGAATCACCTCCCTTGACTTGCTGACCACACCTTTTTGAGGCAGCCCAGGATACAATTGTCTCATGTCCAGCCTCTCAACCACCAGTATTCCCAAGCCCTGAGGAGAGCTGTTCTCAACCTGTTCATCCCCCAGCCTGAATTGATACGGGGTGCTAATCTGACCCAGGTGCAGCACCTTGCATTTGGTCTTATTAAACCTCTAAGATTCTCGTGGGACCACTCCTTGAGCTTGTTCAGGTTCCTCTGGACGGCATTCTGTTCTGCAGGTGTATCAACAGCACTGCTCAGCTCTATAAATTTGCTGAGGGTGCACTCGATCCCTTCATCTTTGTAATTAATGAAGATGTTAAATAACACTGGTCTCAATACAGACCTCTGATGGACACCACTTGTCATTGATGTCCATGAGGACTCTGAGCCATTGACCACTACCCTCTAGGTGCAACCAATTTCTTATCCATCTAACAGTCCTCTCATGAAATCCTTTTCTCTCCAATTTAAAGAGAAGGATATTTTGGAGGCCCATGTCAAAGGCTTTACAGAAGTCCAGGCAAATGCTATCTGTAATCCTACCCTTGATCACTGATGCAGTTACTCCATCCTAGAAGACTACTAGGTTGGTCAAGCAGAACTTGCCCTTGATGAAGTTGTGCTGGCTTTCTCAAATCACCTCCCTGTTCCCCATGTGCCTTAGCATAGCTTCTAGGAGGATCTGTTCCATGATCTTCCCAGGCACAGAGGTGAGCCTGACAAGTCAGTAGTTTACAGGTTCCTCCTTTCTATCCTCTTTAGAAAGAGATGCTAAGTTTCCCCTTTTTCAGTCACCAAGAACTTCACCTGACTGCCGTGACTTTTAAAATATCATGGAAATTGACTGGTCAAATATATCAGCCAATTCCCTCAGGACTCGGGGATGCATTTCATCATGTCCCATAGACATATGTACATTCAGGTTCCTCAGGGGGTCACAAACAGCATCTTTTTTTACAGTGGGAGTGACTTCGCTCCCCTAGTCCCAGTCCTGCAGTCCATCCACTTGAGAGGTACGGGAAGAAAGGTTGCAATTGAAGACTGCGGCAAAAAATTTATTGAGCACCTCAGCCTCCTTCTCATCCATTGTTACCAGTTTTGCAGCGCTGTTTTGTTTGGGTTTTTTTTGGGGGGTACACCTTCTTTGACCTTCCTTATCATTTACTAAATGTGGTCAGCACCAGCAGCTTTTACATTCAGAATAGGATCAGTTGGAAATTGTTTGGTATGCTCTTTATCAAATCTATTCCAGTGATCTTTTGTTGTCTAAATCACAACTGGTTTAATGGTTATATTTTAAAAAAGTATGTTCTACGTTTATCATCTGAGAGACAAAATGAAAGAGGATTTCAGATAAAAAAAGATTATCAGATAATGTACACAGTATATATCAGATGAAGAAACTATATCTTTGTATCCATCTAAAAGGAAATATAATTTTATATTCATTTGCTATTAACATTCAGATTGAAATTCTAGCAATTAAAACACCCAAAGTAAAGTCAAATTATGTTTTACAGCTGTATATAGCCTTCCATGGAGATATAAACAAAACTAAATGTATGGGTTTGTAATTTTGCTATCTGAGGGTGCTGTCATTTTGAAGAGATGGCAATAAGTGTCATAGGACTGAGCATTTATTTGTTTTGTGAGAATCTTATAAGCTTCAGTTTATTTATCAGCACAGTGAATTCCCGAATAGGCTGAGTCTGACAGACAAGATGCTGAAACAATTTAGTCTGTTTT